TCTCTCTCTCTCTCTCTCTCTCTCTCTCTCTCTCTCTCTCTCTCTCTCTCTCTCTCTCTCTCTCTCTCTCTCTCTCTGAGTTCTTTCTTAAAAGAAAGAGTCCATGGTATTTGGGTGTCCATATCCTCTCTATCTCTCTCTCTCTGAGCTCTTGTTAACCTTCGGAATTTCTTTCCTCCCCGATTCAGGAGCAGTTCAGTCTTTCCAACGTAGAGAGTTAATATGAGCCAGTTTAACTCACTAAACAAGTCAATGAGATCATCACTCTCTTTACCCTGTTCAAGAAGAAACTTCAAGAATGACACACTAGGAAATAGGAAGGATAGAAGCATACCGCAGCTCCAATTATTTCCCTCAGTCCATTATCGTCAACACCACTGCGGATTGGGTCTCTTAGACTTACCTGTGAGTGACAAAGCATGTGATAGAACAATTTAAAAAAAAAATTATTTCTACAAAATAACTCATTTGAATCAATAGCATTTGATGGTATAGGCTTTGTTTGCCAGCACGGTAATTCCCCCCACTACATGATTGGAGCAGTACTCCATTATAACAAGCACAATAGAAAAGGAAAGAGCTCATGAAGTATTTTCTTTTTCTATTTTGAAACAGGGGCTATGGGATGCATTTCTAATGCATGTTCAATTGCAAAAAGTAGCAGAAAAATAGGGTTCCATTGATCACCAATGCATTCTTAAACCATATTGGATCTTACTTGTAATAAGCCCTTCCCAAACGCAGCATTAATCATATATGGCACAATGACACCGTGACAACCCTCTACTGCAGTATCATGAGTAACACATTGAACAGGCAAACTTCATATATATATAAACAATGGGAATTTGAATTCACTGTTTGATACTTCTGTTCAATAATTATTCTCCTCAGCATTATTTTGAGAAGAGGAAGAGGAGAGAGAGGGAAGAGAAGATTGTGAGATTTTCCGTAGGCCACCAGGGCATTTTAATCATTCTTCCGCTTTAGTATGCATTCAGTCTACACATAATCACAATGTTGTTTTCACAACTAGAATCTCAAGTACTTGCAAGAGATTTCATTCTCACTTTTTAATTAATGAGAATACTGTTTCATAAATCAGATTTGATGCTATAGTATTAAATAATAAAATATATGTTATATAAACTTTATTAGCCATATCAGATTTTTCTTTTTGTCTCAATTTTTTCATTTCAAAGAAAAGCCAATATTCAATGTGTAAAAAGTTGGCACTAACCTTTACTAATCTAAAATTTCATGCAGTATATTCATAGCAATCAAGTTCCCATTAACACACGTATGTGCATGTTAAAACAAAAAAAATGACTGGATTAAATACCTCAGAGGGGCCAAAGAGGCAGACTTTGAAGTTGCCATCAGCTAAAAGACGCAATCTATTGCAACCAGCACAGAAATGCTCAGTCATTGATGTGATGAAAGATACAGTGCCACAAAATCCATCTATCTTAAAGTTCTTGGCAGTGTCAGTTGGGTGATCCTGAAGCCTCCTCAAATCTTTGTGCTGCTTCAACTGCTTGGATTTAATTAAAACAGGCACAAAATATACCTTATTAGAAAACAAATGCAAAAATATGGATGTTTGCTTTTGTGTAGCTTACAGAATTAACAAAGGCAATGCTTAGAGTTGTACCTTACCACTCTATCTAACATTTCTGCATAAGGTACAAGCTTCTTGAAATTCCATACATTTCCATCAAAAGGCATAAATTCAATAAAACGAACATTTATAGGCTTGTCCCTTGTTAACTCCACGAAATCATGGATCTCATCATCATTTATACCACGCATCACAACACAATTCACCTAATTTCACAAAGAAAATCAGTATATGACGGAGCCCCCTCGTAATGCTTTGGAACAAGAAATACCACAAAATTGAATATTAAACATAAAGCTTACCCAAAAATGATCTTCTAGAAAAAAGGAGATTGTGCACTAAAACTTCAATCATAGCAAAGTTTCTTCAAAAAGTTTCGAACTTAAATGCGTGAAAAAAGTTATGCTTATGGGAGAAACACAGCATAAAGGCATGTTCTACTCATATGGTGTGTGAAAGATAATAGGATAATATAAGAAAACTCACTTTCACAGGATTGTAGCCAATGTCAACAGCAGTATCGATCGACTCCAGAACCCTTTCAAATCCCTTCCGCCTGGTCATAAACTCGAACTTCGCTGGAACTAAAGTATCTAAGCTGATATTTACTGAGTTCAACCCACATTCTTTAAGTTTTGGAAGCTTTCTTGCAAGAACAAGACCATTTGTAGTCATGGCCAACGTCCTTAACCCATTCAAGTTTGACAATTGTAGACATATACCTTCAATATCAGGCCTAATTGTCGGCTCCCCACCAGTCAATCGTATCTTATCTACACCAGAAGTGACAAAGAGATTCGCCAATCGAATAATTTCACCCTGTGAAAGAAGTTTAGAATTGGGGGTAAGCTCAACTCCCTCGGCTGGCATACAATACTGGCACCTAAGGTTGCATCTCTCAGTTAATGAGATCCTCAAGTAGGTGTGCATTCTACCAAAAGAATCAACGAGCATATCTGAGAGGGGAGCACTCGCTTGAGGGGCTTCAGATAACATATTTGCACAAGAAGTAGCATATGTCTTTGAAAAGAATTCATCCTGAGAATGATTGACCCTTTGTGGTTCGCAAATGCCTCCAGATAACAGTGGTGAATTGATATTGGGTGCTGATTGTGAGTGCACGAAATGGACCTGCCATCAGGCATTCCAGAAGTCACTGCCAAGAACTTACCCAAAAAAAAGGAACCAAGTTGCCAACAAAACCATGTAGTGTGCAGCACTGGATATTACCTATACAGTTTCGAAGTGCTCAAAGAAACTATTTGATGCCATGTAGCAATTATTCAGAAATTTAGCAAGACAAGAAGTGGTATACATGTCTAATCATCATTACCATGAAAGCAGAATTTACAATCCATATATAATAACTACATAAAGAATAAGTGCATGTGGCGGAACCTTAAAGAACAGAATAACTTATCACAGTGACGTTAAAAAACAAATTATATTTTTTCCTTTCTTTGTTTTTTCTCTTTTGGGTGAAATATAACATATTATTGATAGGTACGGATATAGAAGCACTCATCTTAAGTTTACCAAACTAAGAACAATTCCAAGATGTTAAGCCATCTATTGGCACCTCAATTAACCGAAAAAGCTGTCTCCACATGGGGATAACCATGGACATGATGTATCAGTACCTCCAGCTATCTCCCAAATCTCATCCAATCTAACCATCATTACTATGTTAAGAAGTCCTCTTCAATGACCAAAGCTCCCAAAGATTACAAATAACCTGAAACCATAGAGAAAATCAAGGACCACAGATTCTCCAGAATCCTTCTCTGACTGTCCTTTACTAAGGTATGCATACCCACACCTTACATCTCTCACCCCTGTATATCCTATTATTTCATTCTTCCACAACATATCAACTTAGCAGCTGTCCCAAGGCTCACCCAAACAACACCAAGAAAACCCCAAAAAGAAAGTGAAATATGTCCCCAAAAATCAATGTCCAAGGACTTGCCAACTAGTTCCTCATCAAACACACCCTACATAGAAATCTCCAGCGTCGTAAATCGTTTCCCATGATAATCTTATCGTTTTGGAACCATCTACCAAAAAGAAGAGTATATAGAGGAGACCGACACACCACACATAATTGCTACCCTAGAACCACAAGGAATGTAGTAGAGGCACCAAACTGAGAGGACAGACCAAACTCAAATACATCTACTTCCCCATGTCAGTATACAAACACTTCAACACAACACAAGCAAGCTCGCTAACAGCTCATTCTCAGGTCCCTCCTAAAGTGGAAACACAACACCTTACTTCCCCTCCCATCGAGACATCCACAACCTTAACATTACAACTCCACCAATTAATCAATTTTTTTTTTTGGATAATTCAGTGGGGATGACAGGCGTCTACCCGTTTTTGAAGTAGTTAGTGGTTTTTGAAGTTGTTAGTGGGAATGGGAGCCATAACGTGCAAACGAGGTATGGGGTGTGCTACCACCACGACCTCAGCCCCTTCCCACCAATTAATGATTCACCACAACTAAACTCTTTCTTAAGTTAACTTTTTGCTAAAAGCCATCTCCTAGAACCTTAGCACAAAAAAGAGGTCAATCTAGCTCGGTCGAGAATGCATCATACAAAACAAAGAACCAAGCACAAACTGCAAGTGGGAAATAGCAATGATGATCCACTCTGTGCTGCGGAGCCTTCTATAGAGCCACGGCAACCTACTCTCATCAACAGGAAAAAAGGAGAGAGAAAAAAAAGAAAAAGAAAAAGAATGCTTCTGACTTGATTGGAAAAAGGAAAAGGATATAAGGGGTTATTTTACTTTAAATCTATATCTCTAAAAGTGCCATAAAAGCATGCGAAACACTCTATGAAAGGAATGCACAAACGACGCCAGAAACATACTCTCTGACCACCTTTCTTTGCCTCGTATTCCCGCTCTCCCAATACATGATTGAAACAGATCCGATAAACAAGTTCACATTTTTCATATCCAATTCAAGCAAGAAATTCTTCTTCCTTATAATGAGTCCAAAAAGGCCCACAAGGTATGAATCTATTCTGCTGTAAGAGCTGTCACAAATAGCCTATTGTATCAAATCTAAACATGCTTTTCTTCATAAGAATCAAACCCTCCCAATGCGTGCTACTGTAAGGAGATTAACAACTTTACAATACAAGGTTGTCTAAAGTAAATGGAAGAATGTAAGCAATGAATAGGGAGGAAAAGGTTAGCAGACGCGTAATTGGTAAAAGGCTCATTGTGAATGGTAGTGGTAGGAGATCTTGTATTGAAACCCTCGGGAAGTTGCAACCAAGGTTGGTCTTCCATCTAGAGTCATGCAGTATGAAATTTAGACAACAAAGACAAAGACAAGTAATGCTTGTGACATCTTAAAAACAGGGGAATCCACCTCAAGGTGGATCAATTCATATATGGAAGAGAAGAGAAATACTCCATGAATTCCTTAATCTAAAGTTTCTTTCCAGAATTTAAGACAAATAAACTGAATATTAGATACATGTTAGCATCAGGCCCTGAAAATTTGGAAATTTTAGAGGAATTGGGGATTGATGTGAAGAGGTTTTCAGTGAGAAACTATCACTCATAAGGTCAGTCTACACCTTTTCTTTTGAATGAGGAATGAATAGAACAAACAATATTTTGAAAGGGGAGGTTTAAGATTGAAGCTGAACGAGAATCAGAAAAAAGAGATTGGAATGCTTTTTACAAAATTGTGAGTTAATAACACTGTGTGTTTAATTAATACAAGCATTTAAGGGAATGTCTACGTCCTCAATTCCTACCAAGGGTAGGGGCCCTCTCCCCCCTGACTCACCCAAAAAAAAAAACTCAAAAAATGGTACAGAACATTTATTTTAGGTCTCTGACTCCATTCTCACCAAAGGGTACGGCCCAAATCCCCACTGACTTACCACCTTTGAGAATGACATGGGGCCTTGGCGGTAGTATTGCCAAGCCCCATGATAAAGTATGTGACTCCATTCTCACCAAAGAGTAGGGGCCCAAATCCCCACTGACTAACCACTTTGTAGAGAATGGCCTGAGGCCTTGGCGGTAGTATTGCCGAGCCCGATGATGAGGTCTCTAACTCCATTCTCACCAAAGGATAGGGCCTAAGTCCCCACTGACTTACCACCTTTTTTAAGAATGGCATGGGGCCTTGGCGGTAGTATTGCCAGGCCTCATGATGAGGTCTTTGACTCCATTCTCACCAAAGGGTTGGGCCCCAAATCCCCACTGACTAACCACTTTTTTTATGAGGTCTCTGACTCCATTCTCATCAAAGGGTTTGGGCCCAAATCCCCACGGACTAACCACTGTGCATTTGCTCCCTCAATAAAAACCTTCCTAAAATTAATTGAGAATGGCATGGGGCCTTGGCGGTAGTATTGCCAAGCCCCATGATGGGGTCTTTGACTCCATTCTCGCCAAAGGGTAGGAGCCCAAATCCCCACTGACTAACCACTGTTGAGCCTTGGTGGTAGTATTGCCAAGCCCCATGATGAGGCCTCTGACTCCATTCTCACCAAAGGGTAGGGCCCAAATCCGCACTGACTAACCACTTTTTTTACCCAAAGAAAAGCATTTAGGAAATGAATTAGTAGACTTTTTGCTCATGGCACAATAATAGTCAAGACATTTAGGAAGCCAAAAGCAATTGTGTAGTACAAGAACCACAATTGTGATTAACTGAATGAACGAGGAAGTAATAACTTTCCTTTTCTTTTCTTTTTTTCCAGATAATTTGGGAGATCATAACATTCAAATGGCCAAATATGTAATTACCATTTGTTATCCAAACTCTTTGAGATTGGAGTGCCTCAATGTCAATAGATGACTGAGGGCCTGCAAATTTTCATAGCAAGCAAAATACAAATTTGATGAGATCATAGACCTTATATCAGGTCCTGGATAGTGGAAACTGGCCATTATCATATCATCATCATCATCATCATTAGAGCCTTTTTCCAACTATTTGGGATCGGCTACATGAATTCTAATCTACCATTCTGCTCTATCAAGGGTCATACCCTCAGTGAAGCCATAAGTCCCTATATCTTTTCTCACTACTTCCAACTATATCCTTTTGGGCCTAACCCTTGTCCTTTTTTATCCTTCCACCGAACCAACTCGCACCTCCTAATTGGTGTTGTATTGAGTCTGCGCTGCACATGGCCATCCCATCTAAGTCTACTTTCTCTTATCTTATTGCTTATTGGTGTCACACCTAAATTCTCTTGAATGTATTCATTTCAAAATCTATCCCTTCTTATCTTGTTACTCATCTATCTCAACATCTTCATCTCAACTACAATCATCCTATGGGTATATTGTTTCTTGACCGCCAAACATTCCACCCTATAAAGCAAAGCTGGTCTCACAGTTGTCCTATAGAACTTCCCCTTCAGCTTCATTAATATGCGGGATCGCATAAAACTCCGGTTGCACATCTCGACTTCGCCCACCCAACTCTAATTCTATGTGCAACATCTTCCTCAATCTCTCCATTTTCCTAAATTATCGACCAATAATGGCCAAATAAGCAAGCGATCCTAGAGAGTGCCAACATATGGTCATTGTATTGTGAGAGGACCATGATTAAGTAATAATGCCCCTCAACAAACAAGTGTATAGTCTGGAAAGTCATTGAAATATTTAACTGACTATTGATACAAATGTTCAACGAGAAGTTCTTAGAAGCCGGTTGTGATCACATGTGGGAATTGTACTACACATAAATCGAAAAGTACCAAGAAAAGTGACTCAAACAAATAGAGTGTATTAAAAATGGGTGCTCACAAATTAAATTCAAAAAACATAAAACAGTGTATATGATGTGAAGATAATACCATTGAAAAGCTACATGGAAGATCAGGGAGCAAATGCACTTGTGATCCCAGAGTTGCAATATGTTGCTTTATGTATTTTAGTGTCGATCTTTGCATTGTTCTCTGAACAGCAAAACAAATATTGTCAGAGAATATACAAAACAAACAACACCTAAATGCTTATGAACATAAACAACATGGAAAAATGCATGCATGGACACAGGCATGTATGGATACATCTAAATACATTAATACATAAGTACATCATGTAGAAGATCAACTAAATTTCGTTATGTAGGAGTTCCCTCCCCACCATTAGACAAGAAATTTGGCAGCTAGTAGGATTAAAGTTGCCTATTATGCAATAACTACCAATCTACCACCTCAATACCCAGTAACTGTCATCCAAATACCCGTCAAATTTCTAATCTGATGGTTGGGGAGGGAAACCCTACATAACCAAAAACAAGGAACCTCTAACATGAAAATTTCTTATAAATTAATACATATGCCAACGAATATGTGGCGAAGTATGAATGTGCATGTATATTTGATTGTTTGTATTTGCTGAAATTTTTCTAAGGGTAAATAAATATCCTTTTTTTTCTTCTCAGGCAATCAAAATCAAAGGTAAATGAATATCTGTGAATATAAACAAGTTTTCTAGATTCTAGACTAAGTAGATTTCGGAGATGTACCATTATAGGCTATCACAAACCATATGGATAAATTGTTGAATCAAAATTTCTTCACAAATGCCATTAAACTTAGAGAAATATCGAATTACTCCAAAAAATATACAATATCTAATCCATTCCACTCCAAATTATTATCAGAAAAAATCACAGACATCGTCAATCATTCCAAATAGGAGACCCACAAATTCAACAAAAAAACCAGAGCACAATAAATAAAAAAAACCAATATTGCAGGTAAAATTAATTCACTGATAAAAAAAAAAGGCAATATCTATCAAATTACCTAATGAAAAGCACCGTTACAATTGGCTGGGCTTTTTTGTCGACTCCTTCTTTATACAAAAGGAGCCGCAAATGTTAGGGGAGGCTCCGTTAATGTTACCGGAAATTGTGTAAATATAGAGGAGATTTCCGTTAATTTTAGAGGAGATTTCAGCGGCCAAAAGTTCAGGCCTGGCGGCGCTAAGGGCAAAGGAATTTGAGATAGATGAACATGGTCCTTTAAAAAGGCCGCTGTTGACGAGCAAAATTGAGTTTGAAAATCTTGAGACGACGTTCTTTCGGTAGCGAGCCGGGCCCCTTGATAGCCTAAGCCACAAACCCATCCAAATGGAAGAAAAAAAAAAAGGGGAAATATCACCTTTTCTCTTATTTTTAATTTCTATATATCGTGGAACTTAAGAATTGAAAATGTTACTCCTAAACGTCTTTATATTTTCTATCTTTCGACCCTTTAATTTTTTACCATATATTAATGACCTCAATAACATATGAAATTACTCCTTTCTCTCTAAACTCAGTCTCTCCCTCTCTCTCTTTGTTCTTCATTGCTGGGTTGGAGTGTTCTCTCTCTCCCATCCAAATAGAAACAAAAAGAAATAAGAAAAATATCTCCTTCTTTCTTATTTTTAACTTTTATATCCAATGGGACTCAAAAATTGAAAATATGACAGATAAGCAAAAAGTTTTTATCTTTTATATCTTCCAACCCCCTAAACATTTTTTACCATATATTGATGACCTCAACAATTGATGAAATAACTCTCTTCTTTCTAAACTCAATCTCTCCCTCTCTCTCTCTCTTTGTTCCTCATTGCTCGGTTGGAGTGCTCTCTCTCTCATCAACAAATTGAAAATTTTATCATATATCCACTCATTTACCGCTCCAATCCTTCATTATTTTTTCCACATACCACAAATCCTTCATCCTCAGGCAAACGAATTTACTCCATTAATTTGATCCTATTTTGAGGGTCCAATCTCATCCCAAGAGAAATTATCTTAAAGAAGTCTTCAATTTCAGAGTTTTGAAGAGATGACCAAAGAGAGAAAAAAGGGAGGAGATAGATGGAAGAGAGAGAAGCGGAGATGGATAGAGGGGAAAGGAGATAGAGAGAGAGTGAAGGAACCTCACCTGAAATTAGGGCTTCATTTGTATTTCTTCATACATAAGACAATGGCCGGAGAGAGAATGCAGGGCCTCCTCTGGTTCAAGGGAAAGCTTAGTGTTTCTTCCTTTCTCTCTCTAGCTTTTCTAATATTTTTTTGGTTTTGTCAAGTTTTGCTTCATTTTCTTTTTTCATCTTTCTTTGTCAAATCTGATAATCATTTTTCCACAATTTCCCTATCTATAATTGTTTTGTTTCTCATTCCTTGACTTATTTCCCCAAGCTTTTTATTTTAACTCCTCTCCTAGCTATATTCTTCAATAGTCGGCCTTTTACTGGGTTTTTTAAACGTCTCTCTCTTTGATGTTTGAGATTTGCGGGATTGGTCGTGGCAAGTGATAGAGAATTCAAAAATTCGTGGGAGCGAAATTGATCTTTAAACTTCTCTCTCCCTCCTCAAGAGAGGCGCTACAATTGCTTGATTCCTCCTCTTCCTGGTTATCGGGGTTTAGAGAGAGAGAGAGAGAGGAGTTTAGAGAGAGAGGGCCGTGAGAGATGGACTTTAGAGCGAGAGGGAGAGATTGAGTTTAGAGAGAGAGAACGTAGGTTAAGAGATTAGGTTTTGAGGGAAGAGAGTCATTTCATAAGTTGTTGAGGTCAATAATACATGGTCAAATGAGTTTAGAGGGTTGTAAGATGGAAAAGATGGAGATATTTTGCTTACAAATAATATTTCTAATTATTAGGTCTCATGAGATATAGAAGTTAAAAATAAAAGATAAGGAGATATTTTTCCAAAAAAATATATAAAATAACAGAAGAGCTTAGCCAGCCCGGATTGGTCCAGGTCCTAAGTTTTTAGGGCCCGGACAACCGGCCCTTTACCGCCCCTACTTGTTTAGGCCTATGAAAAATTATCCCTCCATGTCCTGAATATTTTTAGTAATTTTTTGGGGTTCAACTCCGATTTCGAATTGGATTCAATATAGGAGGCACGTTTTCTTCGATTGGGATTCAATTCAACTCATCAGGAATGGCGTGGTTTTGCCAGTGACTCGAGTGGAGGATTAGGGTGATTCTCATTTTATGCAAATTTAATGTTTTTTTATGGACAAGGTTTATATAAAGTTGCAACATTAAAATGTAGAACTAAAGATGCACCTCAAAAAATCATTGGAAAATGTTGCTTTAATGTTGAAGAACCCTCTAATTGATTATCTAGGCATTGAGATGCATATATATATATATATATATATATATATTATTAGTATTATTTATTTATTTATTTATTTTATTTTTATTTTTTTTTAGTCCCAGAAATAGTGCATCTTGCAATAGATTATCTGGACCGTCCACTTTCAAGATTTTCATATGTTTATAGATATACTTGATTTTTACCATTTTTAAAGTTTAAACTTTATAATTAGATATAAAAATAGATTTTCAGATAATCTTAAGAATTTTTTATACCAAAATTATATGTTATGATAAAATTTGGAGATGCACCTTAATTGGATTGTTTAAGGTTGCAACCTTATAAAAACCTTATAGATTTTTAGATAATCCTAATAATTCTTTATTTTTTTGGCCCTAGAAAATTGCCAATCCAGATCGAAAATCATTGATCTTATCGTTAATCTTTACTGGTAATGATTGAGGGCAAAATCAAGTATCCAATATTAGGATTTAAAACCATAGATTTCCTTTATAGAAGTTGTTCACTATGTATTCCCTATTTGTCCAACAATATTTATCCGGATCAGAAGCGTCTAATCTAGATCGGTTTTCAAAGGAACCGATCTAATTCCCTTAATATATTGGAACCAAGCGATCCGGCCCGATTTTTTTATTATTTTTCAATTTTTTAGTTGATTCTTCTGACTAAATCGCTTATATGGATAGCCGGTTATCCTTGACATCCACGTTTTTAAACATTGTCCGGATTTGAGTGATTCACAAAGCTACCTAATTCAATTGGACTCGTTTTCAAGTTCTGATATTTCTTCTTCCCTTATTCTATTTATAAAACCCGGTCTAATCTTAGACCTAAATATAATATCCAGTAATTATTATTTTTTTCTTGGACATAAGGTTGTTTGACTAGAGAGAGTGGTATTTTGGTGGAATTGATCAAAGGGATCCACACCATCCTTTCCTCAATATCAACGGTGAACACGGTGTGTTTGTATGGCCTTGTAGTGGGTGGTAATCTTATGAATTAAGATGTACCTTGCACTATATAAATCCCCAGCATCCTCCCTGTCGGAGCACACTCTACACTTATTCTTATGGCTAAATTTCGGAGTCATTTTTAGACTTGAGTATTAAGAAGTTATGGCACATTCAAATTCTATATGTCTAAAAACTTGGGTACATTCCATTAAATGTTAGGATGTTATACTTTTCAAGCACATACAAATTAGGTCCTTTATTGTTTTCTTTTCTTTACTTTTTATTTAAGGTTGGTGGCGAGGTCGAGGAGGCTAAATTTCTCAATGGGAATCCTAAAAGTACTGTTAAAGGGGTTTTTTTTAAAAGGGATTATATACCTGCAGGATCGTATCATCTTTTGACTTTTTGTAGTTTTTTTTTTTTTTTTTTTTTTAAAGGATGTGCGTGGATAGCAAGGCCCTATGCCTATTGTGCCTGACCACAATGTGGTTACTAGCCACATAACTGTTAAAAGTTTTTGGTCTAGTAAAAACTAGTTTAACCATTTGATCAAAACTAGTTTAACCGTTTGATCATACTTTAAAATATCAAGAAAAAAATAATAACAATTTAAAATATATAATATATCAAGAAAAAAACAGGTTGTGCATTTTGTTTGGTCGGTTGAACTAATCAAAATGACTTGTCGAACCAACCAAAACTGATCAAACATTTTGATTACTTTTTTACCAAAACCAATTACTATTCTATACCAGACTAGACAAGACAAGACACATATCAACGATTAAACCGCTGGTCCACCCTAGTTATTTATAACTATGCTAACTGCCAATGTAAGAGTTTCATGGCTAAGAAGATCATTGAAAAGTGGAATTGGGAGAGTGAATGAACCCAAGTAAAATTTAGTCCCCTAGCTCAAATTATAATTAGAAGGTTCAATAAACACCTGGAACATTCGCAGGTATAAGCCCGTGACCAGCACGGCTATAGAAAGGAATATATAGAAATAAAAAATAAGCTCATAATTGTAATTTATAAGAAAGATAATTTACACTAAAGTAAAAGCCCCATGATCAAAGAAAATAGAAAAAGAAAAGAAAGAAAAATAATAATGCCTTGTATGGAAATAAATGAAACTCCTATTTGTCAAGAGGAGCTTCCTCTTGACAAATTATAGGAAAAAACCAGCTATACACGTGAAAATATTTCTCTAAATGTATGTTCACATGAAAAAACTTCTCCATTTGATTAAGTATAGAAGTTATTTCACATCAATGGATCCCAATGCGTTTTTTTCATACTAATTGGCAGCCAACTGATCGCATACCTAATCGCATAGGGGAGTTCTTTCATGTGAAATTATTTTGAGGAAAATATCTTTTCACGCGCACCAAATGTGTCTTGGATTAACAGTCCGTTTCCAATTAAAAAAACAATGGAAGTCTTGTTTGTCAAGAGGAGTTTCATCTTGGTAACAAAGAGAGCTATGTTAACAAAACATATCTCTCCTTTGAGAATTGAGGTGGTTCGACCTTTTTATGTATTTGCCCTTTATTTATAGACATATAATTGTTTTTGCAGTTAATTAATTTTCAACCAAGTATATCAATAGGCAGAGTGTTGTTAATGGACTGGGCCAGCCCGTGGGTTTTCAGAGCGGGCCTAGTTTTGGGAACAGTTCGAGGCACATGTTTGGTAGGCCCGAAATATTTTTTTGCCATGCCCAAGCTAGCACTGGCCCAGCCTAGGCTTGAGATGAAAAATTTTATACTCGTGTTAAAAATATTTTCCCTATATTTAGGGCCCAACCTGTGAAAGTAAAGTATATATTATCTATCAGATTAATATGGAAGGTGTATACAGCATACTGTATCTAATATTCTCGTATATACTGATTACAGTGTGCACCTTTCGTATTAACTTGATAGACAATACATATTTTACTTTCACACTCCTAAGTTCATATCCAAAGCCAATCTATGAAGACCT